GTTTGGTGAAGGGCTAAGCAAACCCATTTTACAGGGTACTGTAACAGACTAATAGTTTTGTCTTACAGCAAAGACATGTGGAAAACAGCTTCTCAAAGTATTTTCATCATAAATGTCTGGCTTAAGCAGAAGTACAGCGTGTCAGTTGATGCAATAGTAGTAATTAGATGTTTTTATGTAAGTAAAAATATTTTTATATCAGTGTTATTAAACACACTCTTCTTTCTTTTAGCTTTTCATTTGCCAATACCATATTTGGCTGGCAGCAGACACAAAGGGGATCTTGGTGCTCATTCCTGGATATCCAATGTTTAATGTCCTTGTCAGCACTTTTATATTTGTGTGCGTGGCACATGAAATTTCTCAGATCACTAATGATCTGGCACAGATTGTGGTTCCTAAAGATAACTCAACTCTGCTGAAAAGGTTGCTATGCATAGCTGGATTTTTTTCTGGACTACTCCTCTTCTCAGCAATGCAAGATCAGTCAAGGCATTAACTTGGAAAGATTCTTGGAAACTTTCGTCAGGTTTACTTTGTGTCTGCCTGAACAAAAATTCTCAACTGGAGGTACAAGAAGACATTTGGATTAAGTGCGTGGAAAATGTATATAGTGCAAATGTACACATTTTGTGTGGAAGCAGCCTTCTGAAATAATCTGAGAAACAAGAATGCACTGTACAGAACTGCATGTGAAAATGAGTCTTTTCTACTGGATGTATGTTTCTGTTTACATATCTGTTTAAACGTGACACGAAGAAGTGAAGTTAAATGGTTTAGCAATATCGTGTGCGTATCACAGACTGAACTCTCCCTTGGCTCAGTGGAATGAAGAGTGGGTGTTACTAGAGTGCCGCCTGTACATAACACGTGCTGTAATCATTCTCGTCAAGGAACGAAAAAGAGCAAGCTTGCAGCCAACCCCGAGTGCAAAAAAAAAATTGTGAAAAGAATGGCTTCGAGAACAGTTTCTTTTAAAGAATGACCAGTCGCTCGTCAGGGAAAATAAATCGTTCACTTCCCCCAAATTCCGCAGTTTGACAAAGCCTGCCAGCTCTTGTGGAGCTATAGGAAAGACGCTCAGCTATTTGTTCTTTGTGTGCATCACTCCCAGCGTTTGGAAACTTGTCTTCCTCCCTCGGTTCGTTTGCATGGCTGAGACGGTGCAGGTGAACACTGCAGCGGGGATTGGGTGCGTAACCTTCGTCTATGCCAGTATTAGGAGCCATGGGGAACTGTGAGTTTTAGGGGTATAATTTTTGCTTTGTTCTTCACAACTTAAGTATTGTAGATATTATTTATCTGTTGTACAGACTTGGTTAAAAGATTTATTTTCAATGTTTGAAATAATGCACTTGTTTACTGTTACTGTATGTGGGATAAAGATATTTTCTTTTCAGGTTATGTAAAAATACGACATAATTTAAACATTAAATAAATGCGCTGTGGATGCTTATTTTTGTAATGGGAGCAGCATCAATTAAGTAAAACCTTTTTATTGCTTGACTCTAGCTGGGCTACAGTTCACTATTATGCCTACCTTAAATTACACATTAGTATTGTAGTTTCTCCGAAGTGACGTTCTGGATAGTATTGCTTCACACTAAGGCAGATGCCCCTTTGTATCACATATTATTTCAGATGCAATGCAGGAAGAAATCCTTCTGCAGTAAACCGCGCTGTCCCGGTCTGATGAAATCACAGCTCCAGCAGCCAAACCCAGCCCCGGAGCGCAGGCGACTTCAGCAGAACTCTGCAGCGGAGGTGCCGAATGCTTTTCCCCCCTGAGTTAGGAGCTAGAAACTCTGCCGCTGAGCTCTGCGTGAAAGCAGAGGAACTGATTTGGCTTTTCCTCAGTCTGGCAACATCAAAAACCCCATCCTTAAGAGTTGCTGGGGTTAAGGATTTCAGCTGTTAATTTTGCTATTTACGTCCCACGCTAAATAAAGAAGGGGCTCCTTAAGCAAGGGATTCAGTGGTAGTTCCAGCCCCAAAGCTCCTTGTATCATCAGGGAGATTTTATCTAATGTGGGCACCTGGACTAAGTGGTGCAGATACTCCCCATCCTTTGCAGTTACACCACCTATTTAGGCATCTCCCCCAGTGGAACAGAAGCCCTGCGCAATCGGCTGCACTCAGTTTAGCCACTGACCCTCCAGTGTCCCCGTCCCAAATGTTAACAGCTGTAACAAAAAGTTGTTCAGGCATCATTCTGTAAAATAACCAGGCAACAACATCGCTACTTAACGTTTTCCTATTTATTAGGTTTTACATTTCATATATTTACAAAGACATCTGTAGTGCTGTCTATTAAATTTGGGTGCAACTGTCACTTAATCAATACAATATTGGTTCATACTGTCATTGTACATCGTTAAAAGAGGCTGTGGATTTACTGTTTGCACTGTCAGCACTTTTACCTGTTGCTGATTCTTTAGCCATTGTGTCTTTAGCCAGCTTTATAAATCTATGCTTCCACAGTAATTAATAGGTAAAAATAAATAATTTGTTATTAAACTTACCTCAAATGAATGAAGCTTTCTATCATAAAATAGTTCAGGTGTGCTTAATACCCAAGCCACCTCCATCATCAGCTTCTTTCCAGACTAGATGGAGTACCCACTGGTGCAACCTGATTCTTTATACATGTACATAACGGGTTTAAGAAATTGCCTTAAATATATTGGCACTGTTACATATTAATACAAATGAGATGGGAGCAGCTCAGTGGGTACTTAATTGATTGTCATGTCATCCTCAAGTTATCAGAAATTGTTATGATCCAAAACCAATACTATTTACAAAGTTTAGTCTTATGTTGCATTAAAAATCATTATTTAAAATCCATTCCATTCATTTCTGTTTCAAAGCACTGACAGCTGACACATCTGAAAACAGTAGCAGAAACTAACAGAAACTAGCAGAAACCAAATGCTGATTGTGCTCAAATTTTTCACAGCTTGGATAAAAGATTTGAATTTTTGATTTCCTATAAATCTCCATGTGCAGTTTTCTAAGTCACTTTTCCCCATTAACCATCCAAGCTGGTTGAAAAAGCAGGGGTCTTTCGGGAGGCTGACGGACAGCACCTCTTCCTCGGTACCTTTTGGGTGACACATGCCACTCTGACAGCGAGGAGCCATGGCTCGCTATTCCCACTGTTTCTGAGACTGCCTTAGTTTTTCAACGTACGTGACTAGAGCATGAGCTGCCTCTCGTAGTGCAGTAACCACCGGCCCCGTCCCTGCGGCTGCCTGCAGTTGTTACCGTACGCGTGGGGCTGTGCTCGCCATGTCGGGCAGCCTGGCGTGAGGCCTGACTGCACCAGTACGTACCAGGTACTGAGCGCTGATTACAGCCTTTGCTGCGATATTTCCCCTACTTGCTGCACAAAATGTGTCTACAAAGCAGCTCAGGACTTGTCTTAACTATCTGCCGAGGCGCTGCATTCAGGTCCAAGCCTAGAAACACATCGTTGTTTGCTTAAAAATGAACGTAAAATAAGGTTTTGTGTTTTGAAGGCACAGGGTCGTAACTGTAAAAATGAAAAAAAAAAAAAAAAAGCCAGGGACTACTTTGGTCTTTCCACAAACAACCACCTTATTTTACAGTTTCTTTTTAGCCTCAGTCTTAAATTCCTGAATGACTCAGAACTTCTCTTAGCAGAGACCTCAGAAACCTCAGCTAAGGAAACACAGCCAGCGCTTTGCCATTTTACAGCGGACGCAGCCTTCTGCTTACAATGCAATGTCCTGGTGAACACGCAGCTTCTGGAAGAGAAAATATTACAGAACAGAGGGAAAGCGTAAACGTCAGCTTGAAACAGCGCGATGCTTTGAGGTAAAACCCCAAGAACTATTGGTGTGAGCTGTTACGACTGGAGACCCTGAAGTCCTGTGTTATGCTGCATTTGAGGATTTAAAGAAACATCCGAAAAATTCATTTAAAAGATGCAAAACAATGTCGGGAGATAAATTCCACCAGCTATTTTAAAAAATAAAGAAACCTCAGTTCAGATCCCTTTCACAAAGTTCACACTGTTAAGCTTTCAGCTGCACAGACAAACGCCTCTCAAAGTGACCTCCAGGAGAGCGTGAGGTTAAACCAACTCCTTCTGGAGATGCTAAAAACCAGTCCTTGGCTTATTGGATAGCTAGTTCTCCTACAACTCTTTTTGCTCAAAAAAAAACAACCCAAAGAATGTGGAGGATATAAAAAAATACACCACATCTCGGGGCATCAGGAATATCACAAGAACTTTTAAAAAGTCAGTGCATGTAAAGCATAACAAAGTTTATCCTTGTTTACTTGCAGACATTAATTTCTGCTTCTAGTAGTTTGTAACAGTTTCTTCTACCATAACCAGATGAATGAATGGACAGATTTTAAATGTTTTATTGCTTGCAAGTCTTCAAACAGGTTAAATACCTGATAAAGGAACCAAAATCAAATTTTCACCAGGAGTAATTTCAGGTTTGGTTTTGTTTTTTTCCAAAAATAACTTTCCTCATTACGTTTTGATAATTTCTAAAAAATTAATGCCTAATAAATCTGGAATACTATTTCTGAGTCTCATCATATTGCACAAGTTTTCATGCTTATACACTCCTGCTTTTTGTGCGCAAATGTAAGGCAATGCAGTCATCCCACCGAACAGAGTCTAAAATCCTTTGAACCTGGTGCTCAGTTTGAAGGTTGGATTTCCCTTGTTAAAACTTTCCGGAGAGATCACAAGACAGAATAAAGTTTGATATTTATTGATACATATATTTGAAAGATTATTTTCTGAATGTAACAAATATAAAAAGTTATCAGTGTTTACAAATTGTCAAAAATGTCCAAAGTACAAAAGGCTACAGTACAGTGGGTATATGGAAGTGATTGTACTCTCTGGCACTGAAATCATCTTAATACTGTGGGCATGCACAATACACACCAGAAAAACTCATGCATCAGTCAGAACAAATAGAGGAAATAAGACAATTTGCTGCTTTCTCCGATTACAAATTCATTGCTTCTGTCAGTTTTCTTTCCTCAGGAATACCATTTACCTGCAAGCAGATGAGAATTTATACGATCCATCAGCGGCAGATGATGCTTCAACAATACTGAGCTGTCAACTGGTAGCACAGCACACAAATAGTATTGATTAGGCCGTTACCAACAACCACACTGGAGAAACACCACAAGTACAACCTGGACCAAAAGACGACATACAAGTGAACGAGATCTCTCCTTCTCCTGCTGGGAAAGGAGAGATCTGAGAAAAGATTGTATAACTAGGAATTTATCTCTCTATTCGGGATCTAAGGGACTTCACAGAGAGACTGTGAAGGTCAGAATGGACAATGCAGTATACAGTGCACATGCACTATTTAGTCTTTTGCATTACAGGAATATCCTGTAAACTTGTTTCATCTAAGCATGTTAAAATAGTCCTCGTGAATTTTGCCGGTCGACAGAGAGACAATTATAAAACTTAATGTACCTTTTCATACTGGAGACCAGTAGCAATTTTCAGCAGTGTCGTATAAATGTTAGATGTGAGTTGTCATCCTTCATACAATTCTTTCCCAATTATGTTTGAACATTGTGAAATAGCTGAGCATTATGTTAACTATTGTCTGCCTTTTTATATAAGGTTAAAAAAATATTGTTTCTTACTGGGGATTCAGATAGTTCCTAAAGAGAACAGTGGTTATTAGACACGGTCTGCTATTCAGATTACTAAGTATGGTCTACAGAAGCTTTAAAATAGAAATCTCTTCCTATTCATGGTGGTGACCGATAGTATGTTAATAATCCTGAGTAAATTATTGGGAATTTTCTGTAGGAAAGGAAGCAAATTAAACAATGAATGTCTAGTTCTGTAGGGTTTTTTGGCCTTAAGTGTTTTAGTTCTGTAAATTTCTGACTTGAACAGATGAATGAAATTGATTGCTAAGTTTCTACTGATGCTACTACAAATCTCAGGAGCACCTGAATTTTGTTTTGAATCGTAATGTTCTAAAAATCTAACCTTCTGACAGCACGCGTCATAGCTAGCCTCTAGCAGATAAAGTGCAAGAGGCGCATGCCATCATGTCGTGGAAGAGCCGGCAGCATCATCTGCACGTCTGAGTTACGGAGGAAGGTGTCGTCGTGAACTAAGAGAAGAGGAGGTAACACTGTCTGTCCCCAGTACGGGGCTTTCTTCCCCTGATTTCTGAGAGCTTGTCGCAGGCAGCGTCTGCGATGAATGCGAAAGTCCAGGTGTACTCTACCAAAATGACACACTACAGAAAATACAGACACTGGAGGATTTTTAATATCTATTTTTATGGCAGTTCTTCACTGCGACTTGCAAGCGACAAACCCATGCTGGCTTCTGTTTCATACCTTTTTAAAAATGTCTCACTGCTGTCAACACACAGTGCTACTGGGTGATTCTGCGTCTTTCTTACCACAAGACAGACTGGAATTCTTAAAACAGTCGTAACGGTAGAGCTGAACCGTGCGACATTTTTATGCCGCCTCCTAGCTGCCTGAAGCAGCGAGCATTACGAGCTGCACTAAATGTCAACCCAAACCAGTGCCGGAGACTTTGACTGCCAGGGCCAGCCGCCATTTCCAGTACGTATAACAGAGCACACAAACAGCAAAGCTAGCAGAACTGCAGTCAGGTTTTTTTATAAATGTGTTTTTAATTTCCAGATAGCAAAAAAATACAAACCACATGGGCAGAAGCATCTATTATATACTTGCCTCAAATCTTTGAAATGTTGTCATACGAAATTCTCCTTTAATCCCCGAAAGCAGTAATGAAGAAGAAGGATTTTGAATGAAAGGAAAGAGTTGCTTATGTAACTCCTAAGTTAAAACAAATCTTCCTCTTGGAGCTGTAGTTCCCATATTATGTTCAATACATATTTGCGTATCTCTCGAGTTTTGCCTAAATACCTGTCTGAATATTCAAAAATTAGCTTTACGTTCTCCGTGTATGATCCTTATCCCCTTTCACATGGCTCTGGCTGCAGCTTTTTCTCAGACCTGATGCACTAACTGGAGAGAACAACTGGCCTTGGTCGATGCTCTGATGGGGTCATTCACAACCTCCGTCAGCACCTTCGGATTTGTGAAAATGATGTAGAAGTGATGACTAAGACACGGGAAACCCGCCGCACGGGTATGGGCCTCGCCACAGACTCCCCACTATCAACCCTTTATCTTTAGTAACGGCACTTCAGAGCTTACCTGGTATGGGTGGGAATTAGAAATTTTAGTTTCCCATCAAGTTTTAGAGAATTAGAACAGTGTAACCGCATTTGGGAATCTGGCTGTATCTTCATGTTGCAATAGAAAATTATTTATATGAAGAGGTTTCTAACTTAGCTGTACCAGATGCCAGTGTCTCATGCTGAGTCCTAATGTAGCATTTCTCTCATTTGTTCAATCAATCCCATCCCAAATTTTTCACTGATGTATCAAAAAAATATGGAATGACAATGCCATAATACTTCACTATATTTGAAAATGGTTTCCACTGTCCATAGACCGTACGCGTTTTGACTAGAGACTCCTCCGCACGGGTCACTGAATAGTCACAGTATTTTCTCAGTACTGACCTGCACTCTGCTGCTGTGGAATCTGAGTCTGATGTGGCAGGTTCCTACAAAAAACAATACCTTTAATGTTTCCATACAAAGTCTGAAGTATGTTATGCACAAACGTTCAGTATTTAACCTTCACTTTTTTGCGTATGAAGCAATAATCCATTTTCACTATGCAAATACAGTTGTCAAAAGGCTAGCCAAGCCAACGAAAGGAAGAAAATCAGGGTTAAGAGCTGGTTCCTATTATTTCACTTGTCAGCTAGGTTCCAAAGCTCAGATCTGGTGAAACACTAGAGGTAACACGAGTCACCGCAGGTTCCTAACGTTATGCAAAGTTTGGTTTCTGTAAGCGACGAATACAGAAAAGGTGACAGTTTTTGCAACTTAATTATTGACTGCGGAATGAATGAACGGTCAGCCCGTTTTACGCATCGGACCAGTTCACTTATCAAGGCAAAGTTACCTTTTTGTGTCCCGCTTAAGTGTCTGTTTTAGCAGCTACCAGGCATTAAGGTTGTTTTTACAGAAAGGAGCTAGGGGTTGGAACGGAGGTGAAGTGGATAAACACTCTGTTTACAACTTAAGAAAGCCTTTGGCACAGGCTTTGGCACCCCAGTCATAAAAAAAATGCTATTCTGAATAGAGAAGAAACTGTAAAAGACAGGGTAGGGCACTTCGCAGCAGTGGGACGGGGGGTAATTTATACAGCTGCACTTTCTGGAGAATTTACCTTCGGGACAGGGAGAAGAAAAACACTCTTCTGGCAGGTACCCACGTTACGAAGGGAATACAGGGCAAGCATGAGTGAATGAGGGCCCAGGCAGTGCCGGCAGTGGAGCACAGCGCTGGGGCCAGCCCGGCCGGCCGAGGAGCCGCCGACAGGAGCAGGTGTCATCGCCCGGCACCGGAAAACATCAACAGCCAGTGCCGAGACCAGCGCCGCCGACCTGCTCAGCCCCCGACGCCTCCGCCAAGCCCTTCGAGAAAGGCCTTTTTTCCTACAGCACTGCCGACTTGTCCGAATTCGGACATGTGCAAAGCACTAGACGGATCTGTCCCAACAGTTTCATTAAGTTACGGATAAATGAACTTTAAGGAATAGAAATTACTGTTTCTCTGGTTTCTGTCTTGGAGAGAAGCTGGCAACAATGGGAGCGGCTGAGAGCTCTGAGCATTTCCACTGGCGAGTTGGTATTTATTGTCTGTGCAATGGAATAAGCTCTTCGGTTCAGTGTTCACATTTCAAATATAAACCATGTGTGACAGGTACGTGACTAAACACTTACATGGCCTGGATTTTCTGGTATGAAACTACCACCAACCCGGTGGTAGCTTTATACCAAAATTCCAGAGACATGGGTTAAGAGGCGGAGTTTCTAAAATAGAACAGTTTTAATTGATTCCTCAGTCAAAAGTAGCTTTTCTCCAAAATATGCAGAAATGTAACTGTTCCACGCAAAGCTCCTTGCCAAGTATGCAGACTGAAACCCAGTCGTTTAATTTTATAACAGAAGGCCTTTCTCTCTGCTTGGAATGCAAACATCAGAGCAATCGTGAACTACAGAGCCATTACTGACACCTCCACAATAAACACGTCAGAAGACAAGCGCAGGAATCCGTAGCTAAATCATGCAACATGGTCAGTATTATAAAATAAAACCTGAATGCTTACTGCTGTGGTTGCATCAGCGGCATGCTGGTATTGTCGTAGCTGTCTGCGTGAAGGGGCGGCACAATCTCACCGGTCACCGGGTGGAACACAGGCAGCGTTGAAAGAGGCCAAGCTATCTCTCTGTTTTTAGACATGTCACGAAGCTCTTTGGTTGATTTCTGTATAGCACTGTGGTGGACCAACTGGATGCTATGTCAAAAGGGAATATAACAGTAAATACATATTTTAAATGCTCCATCAAAATGGACAGACTTTTACAATTGTCATTTTTCTTAAAAATACAAGGACTTTGATGCATGCTACAGACTCTATAATGCAGCAATTACAGTAAATCTTTACATAGTTAATTTAATAAATATTGGATTTATTTAATTTTTAAGGCAGTAATCATCCATTAGATTTTGATGTCTGGATAAGGATTTTTTGTAGGATCCAAGACTGTGCAATTAACGGCTAATGTTCCATTTATTTGCTGCAGCTAAAATAGAAGTTTTGGTGACCACCTGATTCTTGTTGTAGATTCATAAAAACTCACAGACTAATTTTAAAGCACTCCATAGTATAAGCACTGGATATCTTCCAGGATACTCGTTCTCCTGTCCACTGCCTTTTAGATACAGGCTGGGAAGTCCAATAACCAGGTGTATAAATTACATATTAACATCTTTATTCTAACAGCACTATTTTATTTTGAGTTGACAGTCGTTAATTTCAAACCCTTTTTATTCTGGTCTTCTATCCTCGCCAAGACTCTGATTTAAAAGCAGCTTTCACATTTATGAATTAAACCATGGATTAGAGAGAATGAAAGAAGATTATGACACACATGTATGAAGCATGACAAGCTACTGAGAATGAAAATTAAATGGTAAAAGAAAAATAACAGGAAAGAAGACACTTACTCTGGTGTTTGCATGTTTCTCTTTTCCCTAAAAACAAAACAAAATTTATGAATTAAATAATAGCATTGATAGTTGGAACATTAAATCTGTTCTGATGATGAAAATAGTACATGATGCAGAAATGCTGACAAGGTTATTGCTAAACGCAACTTGGCAGCATTTGCAGCTGGGTTTCTGATGAGGCCTTGATGAACGCACGTATAGAGATGCGATACTGATGACAGACACACACACAGACACACACACAGAGAAATGAAAATGCAAGTTAAGGAACAAGCTTCTGGCTAAAATAAATTCTGTGACGAAATGGAATTGTAGTTTGTGTAAGAAATGGCAGAAATTACGTTACTTGCTGCTTTCCTTTTATGCGTTTTTCTTTTATAGTATGTCTAAATTCAGTTCATATCCTCAACCAGATTTATTTTATAAAAGTTAGCATTTTAGAAATTAGTTAATATTTTCCTGAATCAATGATCCTTTATTAGTATTTTATTTGTTTGGGGCATTTTGGAGAGTTGTGCGTGTGTGGAGATTTTGTGGGGTTTTGTGCATATGTTGAGATTTTTAACCCTTTCAACTAGAACAGTTAAAGCTCCTACACCCGTTCTCTTGGAGGTAACTGTATGTGCTTAGATGTGAAGTAGCTCAATATTTCAAGCAGCTATCTTTTGGCCTGTTGTAAATGTTTTTAATGAACTGAATGGAATTCTTTCAACATACTCTTCTATGCATTATAATCTTAAAAAAATCTACAATTACTTATTAGTGTGTTAAAGTACTCACACTCCTTCCCGTCGGCAGCACATGATGTAGGCAAGTATTAGAAAAAGCACCAGTGCTATTGCCGAGGGCACTGCCAGTGTAATTAGGAAATCCGAGTAATAGTCTCTGCTTTTCAGTGTATCAGAAGGTGGCTTGTATTCTCCACCATCAGGTAATATCCCCTCTCCACGAATCACTTCCTGAAAGGTGGAAACTTGTTTTGTATTGTCAACCTGATACCCAGGGAAAAAAAAAGAAGAAGAAAAAAAAAGACAATTATATAACAAAGTAACAGAGTGTAAAAACAGGCAGTATTTGACCAGCCATAACATACAAAAGAATCCATATTACACATTTGACAAATTCTATACAATTTCATCCAATCACTTTTTTTTTAACTAATAAAACCCTACATTTCATTTAAAGCTTCTGATCAATGTGGTAAGTAATATCACTTTATCACTTTATTTTGTGTCTACCAGAGATACTATGGTTTTTACAGATTAATTTTAGGGATATCTCGCACAAATATTCTTCAAGTGAAAATTCAGTGAACATTTTTATTAACAAAACTAATTATTTGATACCGATTTCTTTCTGATGAATTAATCCATCTCTTACCAGTCTTCCTACATAACAACACTGCCCTCTCTTGTATGAAGGTGGTAGAGACGAAGAGTGAAGCACCTGCGGGTTTTCTTCCTCCTCCTTCCTCCTGAGCTTCCCATACAGTGCTCAGAACAGCCAGAAGCATGAGCGCAGCTGCTGAGGACTGAGCAGCCCTACTGCCTGCCCTGCTCACCCGACGCGGGATGTGCATGTAGCTGACCAGAGCCAGAGTTCCAAGGCTTCCCTACCTCCTCATTCAGCTAACCTCCAAAAGGCTGCGTTCCTGGTCACGTGTAATTTTTATTTATTTTTTATTTCTGTATCTAATGTTCCTAGAAATACCACCTCTTTTTTTGCTACTGAATTTCCTATTGCATTTAACTGACTGCCTTTCCCATATGACTTTTCAATTTGCTGCCTCCTTTTTCTTGTTATCTTCAGTTAGATGTTACCGTTAAATTTTATCAGTGTTAATCTTAAAACTGTCTCAACATCATTAATGAAAATAAATTATATTTGCCTACATGCTTGACCTTTTGCCTGACTGTTCACTGAGAAAACTTGCAACTGATGGTCATTTCTCTATAATTTACACTTTATGTCATAAAATGCTGTATTAAAACTTATGCAATGGATGAACAGGTTTTCATGGAATGCTAGAAATAACATTATGTCGAGCTTCAAATGCATACACATGTGTATATATATCTTTCAAGTGCAAGACAGTTTGACAAAAATTAATTTATGTATTCCTCACACATTAAATTCTGCAGTGTATTTTGTTATGAATTCTACCTGGCTGCTTAGCTGGATCTCAGGCCCCAAGCAGACGCACAGAAAAGATGTATGCAGCTACTGATGGGACTGACGGAAGCCCATGCACAACATGAGGACAAGCTATCAGAAAGCAGCGTGAAGAGGAAGCACGTATTAAGTTGCCCCTCTTTTCTGTATTTGGGACCCACAAGCTTAAACCCACTCTTTGATTTAGGTGCTAACCGCCAATGTCACCTCATAAACAGCGCGAGGGAGAGGATATGATGGCTGCATTTTCACTCACTGGTCTCTGTTGTGGTTACGAGAAACAGCTCAGCTCCCTCCCAGCCCGTGGATCTCGGGGGACCTCCTGCCCCTTGGCTTGCCTTGCGAAAAGCAGACCATGGTCAGATAGAGGGAAGCCTGGCCCCGTTCTCCCTCAGACCCACCAGGTCACGGCATGCAGCCGCAATGCCGCTGGCAACAGCAAACATCCCCAAGACCGTTTGAATTCAGTTGTCATGGCACGCTGCCAAAACAAGTGCCAAGTTCAAGAAGGTTGGGTTATAGGCTGCTGTAGAAATTTATGCTTCTCTTTGAGAGCCCGTTCCTCTTACACAATCTCTGCTTTTCTCAAAACAGCAGGAGAGCATTGCTTCATGATTAGTTTATGAGCCACCGTTACTATCTGATGCTTTTTCTGGAGAGGTACTCCTAAGCAGATGCTCTTCATTCCGCATGGGTACTGTCAATCATTCTTGCGTTAGTACACCACTCGTTTGCTGCTCCTTTTGAGATTCACTCTGTTTTCTAAGGCTGCTTCTCCAATTTCTCAAGACCTTTCTGAATTCTACCCTGTCCTTCAAGGTACCTGCATATCTTTTCAGTTTTAGGGGGCCTGCAAATTTAATTTAATAAGCACATTCCATCATCCAGCATATTAATGAAGAATGGCAGAGAACTATTAATAATTCTGCTATGATTATGGCTATCCAACCAGCTCTATGCCGGGTCCAGGCTTCATCTAGGCCATGTTCCTGACCTTACTTATGAGACAGTATCAAGAACAAATGACATCTGCTGCTGCTGCACCTCTGTTCTACTTCAGTCTTGCTGCAGGGAACCAGAGACTTGACACAGTTTGTTCCCGACGAAGGCTGACTGCCTTCTACTGGTTTTCAAGTGCTGGTAAGTATTGCTGTGTACTCATGCACCTTTTGCAATTTCTCATCAGAAAGCCAATAAACAATCTGGATATTCTTTTGAAAACAAGTATTTTCCAGGTTTCTAACAGCTTTCCTAATTTTTAGTGCAGAGAAAGAAAGGGTTGGAGGTTATCAAATCGCTTTTGCATATGAATATCTTTTCCCATACTCAACACATTTTTACAATGTACAAAAGCTTTTCACATCTCCCTTTCAGTTTCTTCTTGGGTAATCTCTGACGTAGCTCAACAATCATCTACATTTATCTTGATATTTCTTTCCAGAACAAAACCAAAAATAACCTTAAAAAGCCTCTTTGGGAATTATACTCCTTCCATGGCAAAGAGTCTATTGTTTGATTATTATTTTTCTTGTATTTGACTGAAAAGAATGTTCCCATTTATTTTCATTTCATTAGTCAACACTACTTTTCTTTTTCTATTTCGATTTTAACACAAAATATGTTTTAGACAATTTTCAGAAAGATTTTTTTTAACAGCATAGAAATACTATTTAACTGGTCAGTGCTGTAGACTCAATATTTGAGAAAAAAAATTATTTTTAGGAAACACACACCTTTTAGGAAAGCAAGTGTAACTAGCAGCATTAGCACACTGAATTAATGAACTACACCCAACTAAATAATTCTCATAATTTTTAGTTCTATAAGCCCTAGAGATCTCTGGCCATAAAATATTGTACTTCTACAAACATCATTTTTATGCAATAATAAAATAACTCACCAGGGAGATTTTACACCAGTCAATATGGAATTGAGTACGAAATTTTTTATCACAGGTTATTACGGGCTCCATTTCTTGACTGCATCTCAGCTGATTTTGTGGGTTTTCCACTTCTCGTAAGCACGAGGAAAATGGAACATCTGCCCCAACCATAACATAGACACTGCAGAAAGAGATGAGTGACAGACTGTCAGGACACCTCTCACAATTTCCCTAAGGACAATGACGTACTCTTCCAAACATTATTATTGTTCATGGTATCATTCAGCTGTGCTTTAAAATTACTTTTTAAAATTATTTCTCTTGATAACATACTTTATATAAGCATATGAATAACAGACTGAAATACAAAAGATTTTTCTAGCTGCTTGCTAGAACTTACTCTGTTTTGCTGCATAACGCAAATGTTTACTTATCATCAGAGCTGCCACTTCATATGAAGCCACAGAGCTCCAAGTGTAGGTTTCTCACGTAAGTAGATCAGTACTACTTTTGAAAATCACATTAAAAGAGTATAATTTTATCTGAAGGAAATCCTCAGTCTTGCTCAGCATAGTATTTTTAAAGAGTTTCTCCTCACGCTTTCAAATAAAATTCACGAGGACTGGTATTTCTAAGCCTGATACTAGCATGAGCCCGCCAAAGCCCCCAGCTTCTCCCAAAAGGTTCCACGCTGTAGCTACGCACTGCCAGCAAAATTTGCAGAATGTTGAAAGCGGAATGTAAACTTAATACTTCATTTAGTATTACAGTACATAAAATAAGAGCTACTGTGCTAACTGTATTATTCATTTTCATATCTAAATATGTAGAATGCTGCTGGAAAATACAGTCTGCTGCACCAGGTAATAATGTATCAACGGATCCTGAAACAGAAATTAGGTCCTGCATGCCATTTGGTATATGAGGCATTATATACCTACATGTTTGAAACATAGCTGCTTGTGTTAAACGGCTCTGCTGTGACTCCAGCTAGTACAGAGCACAGGAGTCACTTTCCTCCATCAGATGAGCTCAGAAACTCCAGATGCACAAAAGGGCTCTGAAACAACAATATTCTCTGCACACAGCTCGGATTTTGAACCCACAGCCGTTCCTTAGATATTCTTTGACCCAAAACATCTAAAAATAACTAGGCATCTTTATTTTTGCCAGGGAGCATACTTTCAAAAGACCGAATCCTTATTAGTTTCTAAGTGAAGTATCGTATTTCAGAATAGAATTTATGGTCCTCCATTCCCCAGATGCCTCCGCTTGCCACTTTCATCTCTCCACAGTGCTCCTTAAGTATGTAACTAGGGATCATAAATTTCACTGAGTACAGCTACAAATGGCACTGTTACATGCTAAATGCTCTTAGAAATCGGAGTGTCTTTGTAAACGATGCCCTATCATACCCTGTTTCAAAATTTTGAAGTTTGTGAACTGAAAACTGTTGAAAACTTTAAAAGCATGCTAAATAACTGCTCAGCAGAGAGACTGGCATTAAAAATAAGCATATTAAGCACATTTACTACCAACTGTTTTATAAGTAATGGAATTTATCAGTATTCCTTGGATTATAAAATCAATGTAAAGAAACTGTCACTTGTGGAAACAGCAACTAACACGATAAACCCATGGTATAATGGGCACTTGCTACACCAGTAAACTTTTCATATCTTATACCAATCTGGATTTCCAAAATACAAAACGGTAATTGCAAAGTTTATAGAAAACCTGCAAAAATACCAAGCTTTTCAGTAAGAAAAGAGCAAAGCAAAAGCATTAGACTGACACATGTACTTACCCCTCCTTCATGTCGTTAATAGGAAGCGGAACTCGCCCTCCTCTGTCGAGGGCTGAAGTAATGTTTATAGCATTCAAGCGTTCTGGCTGCCACACATTCTTCACTGCTCCAAGAAAGTCACCAAGAACTTCACTTGCTAACATTTCTTCTACGTTCATATTCCTTATGAAGAACTCCGCTTGATACGGTAAAGGAAAATCTAGTTGTAATGAAAAAGGAAGAGTTTTGCCTTCAACAAAGGCTCCATAACAAAGAATTTGAAGTAATGATCAATGTAATGCCACTTTAAGGTTGATACACCTTTCCAAAAATCTTGTATTTGAACTAGCTCATTTTGAACCTCATATGATTATGTTTAACTAAGTAGTATCACTGGCTGTTTATAAAGCAATTGAGAGATGAAGGAGAGGGACCAGAGGAAAAGATTCTGAGCTGGTAAATCTTCATTAAACAGATAAAATTACATTCACGCTAATTTGGGGGTCAAAACTGATTTGCAGTGACAATGGATTCCAACCTGCAATACTCCTGACTATAAATATGTAAATATGATGAAGAGAACTACTTTTAAGGACACAAACTATTATTTTTTTTAATTGAAATGTCCATATATGCTATAATGTGTTGTTTTCTGCATCTGCCTGTACGATTGTTCTCTGCATAAAGAACATGCAGAACTAAGCAAACTAAACATGCAGAAAGACAGTAAAATCCTTCATGTAAGCTCCATTTGAAAAGACGGGGAGGGGGGAAATCTGAAATACATAACATGCTTTTTTTTTAATGAATGAGGAATAACAGTCTTACCTGATAGAAATAATTTAGATAAAAATAATTAATTGAATCAAGAGAGGGAAAACTCTCTTACTTCCCGTTTGCACCCCACATTTGGCTTGAACACCAGACAACTATTTTACATTACTTTTTCAATCTTAAAAGAATAGAAGCCCATAAGATGTTTTTGCTTATTCAGTTCAAAACATAACAAGCTATTTTCTGTACATACCTTCTGCTGACATTATATTAATGATCAAATTATGTCTTGCTGTCTCAAAGGTACGCCTGTTATATGCAGTGATCTAGAGAAAAAAAGATATGATTGCAGAACAACAATGCAAATATGAAAATCAGGTAAATGAAACATCAATGAAAACTAAATTGATGATTTTGAAATACTTATCACCTTTCAAGTGCTTTGCCTCCTTATTTTGAAGTGTATGAACATTAATATAACGTTTGAAAGGTAAGATCAATTTATTTGATGCAGTACTACCTTCAAGTCAGGATACTGGAATTTTCTCGGCCAGTCTATAGCCAAATCCAATTATCCAAGGGATATATGTGAATGTAACATATTTTGGTCCAGATGAAAGTGTTCTGCCACACGTGTATTCTCTCTTTTCTGCTATCTTTAAGAACAACCGTAAGCAAACTCTGGTTTCTGCACTTCCCCTTCCACCCTCCACCCTGCTCCACCAGTACTGTAAGATCTACGTTCACCGATAGCTCCTAGGGAACCAAACTAGATGGAGATATTTAAAGGAAAGAGCGTTGCAATCCCAGCAATTCTAATCTTTGGGATTGATATTAGGTTTTAGCTCTAGCCCCACTGAAGTCACACTCCATTAATGGATTCACAAGCATTGCTCCAACACAAGCAGTTCGTAAAAAGATCTCGGCATCTGTAACTGTAGGGGAATTGAAAACTAGTAGGTAGATGTAACATTCATGACTTTTATGTTTGGAAACTTATGCCTTTGTGATCAAATTACCTAAGGATACCAATCTTAAAGGTTAAATGTATGGGATGCCTGAAATGCTCACAAGTGGTGACGGTACTTCGAAGTTGTACTATGATTAAGTGCTTATTCATAAGAAATACAGAATGTGGCTGGATATCAGAATAATTATTTTCTCTACTTTTTTTTTTTTCCCCTGAAAGGTGATAAATCTTTCATGAAACAAATTAAAAAAGACTAACTTTCTTCATAATTTTAGACTTTGCTTCATTCATTTCAGGGACAAAGGAGAGGCAGAGGAGTGGCGACAGTGACAGAACTATGTTGCTTCTCAGCAAACAAAGCCACAGAGCATAGTGACACTGATTATTAAACAAACAAAAGTAACAGATGTTGCACTTCCTTTAAGGTATTTAAATGAAAAGGAAAAACACTCTGGAATATTTTCTGCAGGTTCATTTAAGCGCAGAAGGAAAAGCTTACCTGACACAATTACATCTTATCTAACCAACAATTTAATTATGAAATTAACAGAAAACAAATGCCTGAGATTTTTCACATCCCCTATTCTGCCAGTTTTCCAAAGGGTTGTTTCAACCGTAGTTCAGACATCTATACTTAGAAGACCTAACCTGTTGTACGAGCTCTGCAGAGGAATGTGACAGCACCCACTTTGGGTCTGCACTCCAGCAGCGAGAATTGCCAGTGCAGACTGCGCACCGGCACCGAGGAACAGTGGCAGGGCAGAGATCACCTCTCTGCTGAACAGCATTCAAGCACAAACTCTCCTTGCACAGCTTTCAGAGGAGCTGGAGCTCAAGAACGTTACCCGCTCTGCTGCAGTGCTGTGCGCAATGCTAGGCCCTTCTAATCAAGAGGCGTCCTCCAAGTAAGTGACCTACCCACGACGGCACCTGAGGCACTAGGGCATGATGAAAACGATATTCAGGCCAAGAATATGCAGCCCCTCCTCTCAGACAGCACTGAAGGAGGTCAGACGCAATCCGTCCTCCTCCCATACTACGGAATTAATCCTAAAGGCACATTTGAGAGTGGGACTGCAACGAATTCATTTGTATGCAAGGCAAGATTTAGTTCAAATATAGGCTTGGGGTCATGCTCGGAATGGAGGTCTGAATATAGACCTTAGAATCTAAAAGCACATGACATTTTAAAAAGGGCAATTTTAGATAGGTTTCCTCTACAGAAAGCTAAGTGGAGTCTGCAAGTACTTCTGCACATGATTAATTTCACAGATGTGATTAGTCCTGCGGAAATCCAAACTGAATCATGTACATAGGATTAAGCATGTGTGAAATTATCTACAGTATAACTTAACATTTAGAGATGTCATTCTTGAGAAAGAAGAACCATATCAAATGCAATTTAGAAAAAAAAACTCATCAAGGGTTTAAGACAAATGCACTGCTGAAGCAGCAAAATGGCTGGAGCAAGTTAATGAGCAGATTTTCCTTAACACTGCAAAGCACAGAGTGTCTGATTCAATCTGCTGTCTATGATCTGCATGGTGGAAAATACAGTCCTTTTTCCCTTTCAATTGCTGCTCAGTGAATAATTGGCGCTTTTAAACATTTGAATAGCTAATTGTCAAAAATAAAGTAGTGGGGTTTGTCATTATTACACTTATAAGAATAGAATTAAATACGTGTAAGTGCTAATTAAAATTAAATCTATCAATAAACATAATGAACCAGATAATAGTTGAAAATAAATAATAGTTGAAAAATAACTGAATTAAAAAAAAAACCAAACCCAAACCCAAAACCTGTTTGTTAACTCAACACTGTATTTTCCAGTGGGGAAAAGTCTGGCCTATATTTAGTGTGGAACGTTACAAGGTTCAGAATTCAGATATTCATCAGGTACAGCTGTTTACAAAGGGTTTTTTTGTCCTGTATTTTGAGTACACCTTTAATATAGTCATAATTTACTGAAATGAAATGCCTCTTAGAAAGATGAAGGGTGAGAATCTACACGTACTACCTAGGAACATTAAGGTTTACTGATTATTGCTATTTACTAGTTCTAGTTAAAAGTAAAATACGAAATGTCGTACAACCTGGCTTTCTCTCAAAGAGGATACAATAGTACCTAAGAGAAATGTTACTGTCACAAGTCCTTGTCTCTGCCTTATAACCTTTCTTTGAATTTAATTGTAATTGACTTTCCAGAAATGAGGCAATGCTTGTTGACATTCTGAATACTACACTCAAAACCAAAATGAATCTTTTTGAACCTTTGAAAGAAATACCTCAATGATGGTTGGTTTGCCCACATTCTCTACAGTTGGTGAGCCATACAGCACTCCATCACTGTATGGCGTCCTTTGTATATAGCGTAGCCATCCAGGTCTGTCAGGGTAACCCATTAAGTTGGTATTAAATGTTATAGGGTCATTACTTATTTCACCTAGATAAGAAAAAAATATATTATTTACAAGAAAATGCTATATGCTTTGATTTTGATGTTTCCATTAGAAAATCTTATTTTGTCTTCCAGTTATGTCTTCTAAACATTTCCAAAACAGAAAAAAAAAAAAAAAAATAATCCTAACCTTCACCGTACCAGAAATATGTGAACTCCTGCTCAGCACTTGTAAGTATTAAGAAATTCATATCTGAAAAGTGTAACCAACTGCAGAGACGAAAGTACTGGTACTTCTTAGAGTCCTGGCTGACGGTGAGTGCTTGCACTCATTAAACTAGTAGATCTGATTTTTAGAGCTCAGTTCCACATAGAATTGAAGCATCTAACCTCCTACTTACTAAAGCATACAGGTCTCAGTCCTTTAATTCCTCAAAAAGTTACTTTTATTTCTGTTTTTAATAATGGCTCTGGAGACCCAATGTACCTGGGAGGGCTTACTGTAAAGAGCGGCTGTGTCATCGCCAATGTGTGAAAGCTTCTGTTAGCATCAGGATACACAGGTCTTCAGCACCAACAGCCTGGCAGTGGATTTTCTTTACAGAACAAATTACTTCAACAAAGGACCAGACTTCCCCGCAAAATGGATCCAATGACAGCTACTAAACAATGGTCCAGACGCAATCTCTAAAAGCCCCTGAAGTCAAACCAGTATGAGAATTTTTGTGGTTCTTATTGATACTCTTACAAATGTCTGGATTTCACTTCACTTATAAAAGCTAAAATAAAGCGAAGTCAGGTGTGCCTACGCACTACCAGATCCGCATCACTGAGGCATGAGCACCTTACAGCTGAGCCACAGAACTTGGGCGAGTCCATTCCGAGACACCTCTGCGCTGCGCTCCTCCAGCTCGGCTCTGAAGTGGCAGGCGCTACAAGCTACAAAAGAAGATGGCAGGCTGGCTGGCACAGGAGGCAGGAACAGCCCAGTGAAGAAATGGCTGCCATCTCCTCCAAAGAGGAGCAAAGAGACAGCGACCTGATGCCAAATGGTAACTAGTTTTCAGGTACGCACTTACACATCTGGCTGTGGGTAAAGGGGACCAAACCAGCACCGGGATGTAACACAACTTTCCTCGCAATTCTCTCAGGACCTCCCAGTAATCTAATCTATTGCATTCATCATGAAATTCCCAGCATCAGAAATGATTTGGGGAAAAACCTGAAATCCACCTGTGATACGTCTTGGTTTGCCCTTCGTCAAGGGAGGCCATGCTAGAGATCCAGCACAGCAGACAAAAATAAAAGGACCATGGTAACAGCTGGCCTTGCAGTGAGTTTCTGATACCATCACCGTCACCTCTGGGTACAACAATTTCAGCAGTATCTGAAATCAGATTCACACCGCCTTTGAATCACATGAATGTCAAGACAGGCTGGGGCTGCACGGAAAACATCAACTTTTCAAGGAGAGGAAATTTTTAAAACATTTGGTTTTATTCATGACAAAATTTAACCAATGCTAACAGAAGCTTATTTTTTCGTTAAAGTCAGTTTTGAAAATAGTACTCTCAAATCAATTCAAAAGCTTATTAATGAAACAGGTTTTGATTATGTGTGCACTGTACACTTACTATAGATTTTTCCTATTTTTAAAGGAAAACAGGATATTATATTTATATATTTATATAAATAGGATACACTTATAGATTTATTACTCCTTTTCATTGCTGATAAGCATGTGGGGCAGAATGTTCTCTCTTTCTCTCCCCGCCCCCGATTGCTTATCTATATTCTAACCTGCCCACGATCAACCTTTTAGGTTTGCCTTAGGTGTATGTCAAAACACCATACTTGGGAAATCATAGCTCTTTCTCTAAAACAAACTGCTTACTAACATTAAACTGTTCCTAAATAAAGGAAAAAGGCTGCATCCAAATGAGCACTTGTTTTAAATGAAAGAAAACATCATTTCACAGTCTCGTATTTGATTTAATATTCTTTTTTGTCTCAAGTTTGCTATATGCTTTCAAAGTGTTCCTTCATATAGCCTGATACATACTACGTCTGAAACTGATCAGATAAATGGCATTAACAGACATAATTATTACACTTCCACGTTTCATATTTAACATGAAACTGAAGAAAAGGTATACTTCCTAATCTCAGATACAAAATGATTACGCCTTCCCAAATTATTAAGTACATTTTTCACAATACACAATTATCTGCATCTTTTCACAAATGATTATCACAAACCAGAACATTTTAAACTTCTAGTACCACAAATTATATTTCATTTGAAGATATTTCAATGGAAACTAAAAACTGTCCTTTGTATGTTATATACTGAACTGTAAAGTATGCTAAATAGACTTGAAATTTTTTTAAACGTTTTTTTTCCTCCTAAATTTTTATATAATATGGAAGATCTTAGCATGCCATACCAGGCTTTGGGTAAGGAGGAAATTCCCCCTTAAAGTACTCTCTCTCCAAAACATGAACAAAAAGAACTCCAGCAGAAGGGTATACGTTCCGATCAGAGTGCACCTTAGACAGAATCGTGTACACTGAAAAGCAGAAGGAAAGATAAGAGACAGAAAAAAAGCAAAAATGAGACATGCTCTAGATAACACAGCATGCATTTCAACAGCAATGTGGGCAATCTGGGAGAAGGACAGCAACAAGTATTAGATACCTGTTAATAAGTTTTTTAAAAGGTTGCACAGATTTAAGAACAGAACACAGAGCAAACCCTCTCTTTGCCCAGCAGGATCCCTTCCAACACTGCAATAAACAAAACCGGCTATGTCAGGATTTCACAAGTTGCACAAGCTCTTTATTTTTACTTCAATAAAAAAAAAAGAGGGAGGCTATTGTAATTTTATAGTTGGTTTATTTGTAATATTATATGAAAAAAATACATTAAATGAATGACACAATCATGTTTTCTTGATATTTTACATTAAAATAAGGAATATGAGAAATACAGAGGAACCTTACCAGTCAATGGTACTGATTCCTCACTGAATGGAAATCACAGATTTTTCAGTTCTTGTGCAAAACAGGACAAAGCAATTCACTTTGGCTGAGGATTTCTATGAGTTCTTAAAACTAGACTTTCTTAAACCAGCAAGTTCAGAAATGTACTTCTAAAAATCTGATTAGAGAGCTCGTTATTGAAGATGTTGTGCTTGTACCGAATGATAAAACAGAAGGACGTGGGCAATCATAGGCCAGCCAGGTGTCACCAATTCCAAACAAAAAAATGAAGCCGTATTTTACAGGAGTCAGAATTAAAAACCTAAAGGAAACTTCATTCAGAACAACCAGCATATGTAAAAGCAATATGCTATTTTTTATGTAATTACAAATTTAGTTCATAAAAGCCAATCCTATTTAGGCATAACTCATTTGACACAGTACTATATACACATTTTAAGAAGAATACAAAAATTATGATGATACATTAAATGCATAAGAAACCACTTCATTGACATGTTCAAAGATTTAAGTATAAATGGAGAATTCTGATCTACTAGGTGTTTCTCGTGGTGCCTTAACAGGGCACATTGTAGGTCATCTTACTACACCATATTACTATTCAGTTTCCAGTCAATGCCCTGAAAGAACCAATTTTTGTCAATGAGATGAGGATTACACAAGTGGTAAGCAAAGGTAAGTCACAGATATGGAGACACACAGCTACCTGCCTTGCTTGCTAAACTGAAAGAAACCTTATGAGCAGTCACATCTCCGAACAAAGATTACAGGCCTTACAGCATGGGGGTACTGTCACAGGGAAGAGCAACGCCGAAAGAGACTTCAGAGTCATCGGGACAAACTCATAGGAACAAACTCGTACCTCCTAGAAGATAAAAGGGCTAATTTCAACACCTGGATCAGTAAGGAAGATACATCTGAAATGTGGATCAAGCTCATGTAATTTTCTAATCCTGGTATAACTTCTCCAGCCTTATCATTATACCAACCACTACTAATTAGGCATTAATCACAGACATTCCATCCCTCGCACCACGTACTCCGTGTGGAATCTGTCTCACCTAATTTTAGATGCCTACAGAAACAACATCCACCACTGAGTTAGTCAGGCTCCTTTTATAGTCAGTGGAGAAGAAACAGACACTTCCAGGGATTGATTAATTTGATTTCTCCTGCAAAAAGAGATGAATCATGTCCTAGATTCCTGACTAGATCTCCACTGACTGCAGAGGCAGCTGAGAGGAGACGTAGACACCTAATGTAGACCTCTACATTTAGTTACATGCTTCCCACTCTTTGAGCCTGATATCGAAGAATTAATAGTCTCAAGCTCTGATATAGTATTGATCAAATTCCACAGCAGTTGCTTTTTCCCAATTTTGGAAACCACTTTTAACACAATACTGAACAGAACATCTTTCTAATAATTTTACCTTAAAGACAAAATTAAAATGGATCCTGAAATTTAAATAGTTTATTACAATTTTGCAGGGTTAATAAACCAGTTACTGTAATTTTAATTATGTAGACTTGATTTAAGTACAGTAACATAGCTATTTGATTTGTATAATTAAAATTAGTAAATTGATGACACAAAAACCTTTTGCATTCACTTCTGTGAATGAGCTGTAAATAGAGCAAGGAAATGAATTAATTTCAAATATTTTCAAGAAAAGCTGAAAAAGTAATTTATAATATTAATAGAGCAGAAAAGCTGACAAAAATATGGTGGCTGGCTGAAAATGCATCAAATATCTAGAAAAAATAAATTTTTCCATTTCTGATGCTTTGACTCTACAATGAAAATGCATTTCAAACAGGAAGAACAGTGAAAAAGTAAGGTATATTTTCTCCATAAGCAACAGTTTTAGAAAGGAAGAAGCATAACAGAATCACCAGTTACTGAAAAAAAACCCCATATAACATATTTCTTTTGTCTGTTAGAGGAAATGTATTGCCATCACTAAATGCCCGCCCATTCCTAGTAAGGAGATGTTCTCTGTTACTGAAGTAAGCATACCAATAAGGATTTCACGCAGATATAGAACAGTGATCTTAGTGGAAGTCTAAAAATGCCTCTCAGAAGGAAAAAACCCCACAAACCTATTTTATCTTATAATGAAAAACACATTGTAATGACAGAAGTACGGAGGTTAAGAATTCGAAAGTTCTCATCCCCCTTGTCAGAGAAGCTCTCTTCTTTTTCCCCTATGAAGTTCCTTCAAAATCAGAAGGAAAATGATGAGTCTTCAGCCCACTACAGCAATCACTGCTTTTCAATTATGAAAAAAGTGAAATGCTGTTCTCTTCAGAGGCTTTTGAAATCCACAATTATTTTCATAAGACTGGCCGAGACCAAAGATGAATGTGTGTCCTGGTTTCGGAAGGGACAGAGTTAATACTCTTCCTAGTAACTGGTACAGTGCTGTGTTTTGGATTTGGGATGAGAATAATGCTGGTAACACGCTGATGTTTTAGTTGTTGCTGAGCAGTGCTTACACTAACTCAAGGACTTTTCAGCTTCTCACACAGCCCTGCCAGCGAGGAGGCTGGGGGTGCACGGGAAGCTGGGAGGGCACACAACCAGGACAGCTGACCCCAACTGGCCACACATACCGTATGATGTCATGGTGAACATATAAACTGGGGGGAGTTGGACAGGGGGCGGCAGACCTGCGCAGGGACTGCCTTGGTATCAGTCAGCGGCTGGTGAGCAACTGCCTTGTGCATCACTTGTTTTGAGTATTCTTTTATTATTGTTTTCCCTTCCTTCTCAGTCCTATTAAACTTTACCTTAACCCATGAGTTTTACCTTTTTTCCAGTCCTCTCCCCCATCCCACTGCAGGGGGGGAAGTGAGCGAACGGCCGTGTGGTGTTTAGCTGCCTACAGGGTTAAACCACAACATGTAATCATCTTAGATGACCTAGGGATGAAACTGAATATACCTGTCAACCTCTAGATACTAATCTAATACAGCAGACTGCCAATGTGAATTGCCTGCGCAAATTCCCTGTGGTAGATAAAAATCTCAAAGACTGCGAAAGGCTTCTGTAAAACTAACCATCGGAAATTAAAAATCTTCACTACATAGGATCACACCAGATCCCTCCTAGACAAAAAGAAAGTACCAGCTACCTTGACGGCACTGTTTTCTTTTTTCGTGTTTCCAGAGCCCTTGGAGGACTTTCTGTAGCTCCCAAGATGTATCTGTGCAGAAAGGTTTCAAGTTCTGGAGATTGGGAAAGAAGCAGATTAAACGGGAACAGAGGGCTGGAAAACACACATCACTTCTTGAAACACGTACAGAAACTGTCCCAACTGTTCTTCTTGTAGGGCTTGAACATGGGCACTGCCAGGAATTCAGCTGGGATTGTATCAGCCTCCAGCCTAAAGCTTATTATCAGATACAGATGATCCCCGTCTCCAGAAATTTCAGAAGATTTACCATGTTGGTTGAAGGCTGTATGTCAACGATCTTCAGAAAAAAAGCCACCTGGAAATTTTTTCTGGGAATTTCAGTGGGTTCTCTCCCCACTGATTTTTAGCAGATGAAGCGCAATCCCACAAATATCTTGATTTGGGGGCTAATCCAGATTGCCTGCCTGGATGGGCAATTAGTGCAAAGTCTCTCCTCAGCTAGTGTACACTAGCTAAAGTATTCAATGTGTACTTGCACAAATGACAGTAAAACAGTCTTTTTACATAGGTACACAAAAGGATCTTTTTAAATTGTTACAGACAAGTTATTGCATTAAGCAAACTGCAAAAGTATCTCCAAGCAACCAGCCATGAGAAGAAAATGTGCAATATTAGGTATACACACAGCTGTTATTTCAAGCAAAGCTATAGGAACAGAAAAAATTGGGGAAGACTCACAAAGACACGCAGGTCTGTGAATGTTTAGAAGATTAAAGAAATGTAAATTTTTCCAAATTACTTACCTTGAAATAGCACCTTATTCCTAAAACAAGGACATGACTGAAAAAGCAAGAGTCATATTAAAAGCAGATTTGACTGAACCAACATGGGATTTAAATTTACAACCTAAACTCACCATTCTTCTCAACAGCCTTTATTCTGCTGATAATATAACTGTGGGCTTGCTTAGTCGTCCAGTTAACTGTTCCATAATTGCCATCAGCAGAGCTTAACAAAAAAGCTTTTCAGAATAAAACAAATGCAAAAAAAAAAATTAGTCAGATCAACAGACTCCCACAAACCAAGTATCAGATGGCATCAGGTGCCTTCTAAACCAAGTTTTGGTTTTTGCCAGCGTTTAGGAACCTCAGGTTAAAAAAAAATAGTGATGTTTGATTTGAATACGTAAACACATAATGATCTGACAGTCACCTTTTTGACACTTATTTTTCCAAATAAGCTAAGTTTACACTAAATGCTTAAATCTCTGGAGACACTTCTGCTGGCATAATTATACTGATAATAAAGATGATGAAGAGCATTCTCTGATAAATATATCTGCACTGGTAAAACCTCATATACAGGCAAAGACATATCTAAAGTTACTTTCACTAGCATAGTAGTATATTTTGGCCAAAGTCAGGAAAGTAAGATAACCAAGAGCACAGCTTTGTTTATATAAAGACACATGAGGCTGAT